AGTATAGGGCTTTAACTTAGCTTTTTTTAATTTTTTTCTTGCAACTACATAACTCCTGGGTTCGATATGACAATGACTTAGGTCAAATATACAAGGAACCAACCAACTTTTCAATCGTTTTCACAACTTTGCAGGCTGTTTTTCTTATCATTACACAACCGGCTGATAGATCAATCTGCATATATCATAGAGGGATTTAACTTGGCATTAATTCATATATTCATATAACTACAGGGTTCGTAATGACAACAGCACATACTATAATGATATAATGTGTCCTTGAATTGTTGTATAATAACGTTGTTTGTGAACACATAAGCTATTGCATAATATCGGTGTCTGTAAACACACAATCTGTTCCTTGATAATGTTTTTTTGTAAACACAAACTGTTGCATGACAACTCTAAACTCACAAACTGTTGATAATATTGTCTAAACACACAAAATGTAGCATAATAAAGGTGTTTGTCAACACAAATTTACATGATAACTGTAAACACACATACTACTATGAGATATTGGTGTCCTTGCACACAAACTGTTGTATAATATCGATGTTTGTAAACACACAAACTGATGCATAATAACGGTGTTTTTAAACACACAAACTGATGCATAATAACGGTGTTTTTAAACACACAAACTGATGCATAATAACGGTGTTTTTAAACACACAAACTGATGCATAATAACGGTGTTTTTAAACACACAAACTGATGCATAATAACGGTGTTTTTAAACACACAAATTGCTAGATGATGACTGTGTAAGGAACCTACTGCATAATAACAGCTTGTAAACACAAATGCAGATGTATATTAACGGTGTTTGTAAAGGCAAACTGTTACATGATAACGTTGTCTCGGCACAAGGTGTTGCATAATAACAGCTTGTAAACACAAATGCAAATGTATATTAACGGTGTTTGTAAAGGCAAACTGTTACATGATAACGTTGTCTCGGCACAAGGTGTTGCATAATAATGGTAACTGGCACACAAACTGTTGTATAACAGCACAACTGCACTGTATATTATCAGAATACATGTATTACATGTAAGACTGATTGTGAATACATTCAACATTACGTCGTCACGGTGCATTTATACAAAAATTAACAAAATAAATTAATCTCTCGGTTTATCTGCATCCGATAAACGGGGAGAACGCATCAGACTGAGGTATATTGCTGTTTATTTCATTCTTAGGTTTTTATTTATCGATATATAAAGTTTTGGCGGGGTGCCAAGGTGTACGTATACTACCTTATGTCCAATCTGCATATCACTTGTCAAGCGAGTAATGATATGTATCAACGCCCTCTACGATGAGCTTTAGCAAACCGATATAAACTGAAATGAAGCACATTACCGACTTGAGATGTTAGATTCGTTTGACTCACTTAATTGTAATCGCACTTGTGTTTAAATATATCGCGTCTTCATTTTTACAGTATGCACGAACTGGTTGTACCAGAGATACGTACTAAATTCATGCATTGGTCGGCGACAGTCGAGTGTTCGAGATCTTCTGTAAATAAAACTAGGCCAACCATTTAATATATTATGTAGTCGTTTTTGACCTTATTACATAATATTGCTTTAAAAATAACAATCAGAACATGACAATACATGACAATACAAACGTGCTTATTATCAATCCATTTGATCCAAACCCAATTGGCACAGGATGAGCCAATCTCCCAGGCAGAGTTCTATTTCGACGAATGTATACTTTCGGTGTTCTGGCCGCAATGATCACTGGGAAGGAGAATGGGGATAAGCCACACATGACAATTGGCACACAGTTAATAATGGCCAAACTGTATTACGTAAATGAATATAAGGTATTATTGAAATACAGTGGAAATGTTCAAGTTTTAATTTATGCAAATTCCGACAAATGAACATATAACAGAGCACATTATGTTGAATGAAGGTGGTCGCTGACAGCGTGTCTTCGAATTCATGAAAACAAACAATGTATTTTACACGCGTTGTATACGTCGCTATTAGTCCCATATCGAACAGAACACGACGCGACGACTGCCACCCTTTAATAAATACACATTTAAGCTACAACATATGTCAATACTTCAATCAGGAATGGCAAACTATTCTGTTTTAACTATTATATTACATGTACTTATACTAGCTCAACACAACACTGAGATTAATTCTTAAAATTTCACTTTAAATATTGTGTGCATGCACATACAATAGCATTTAGTGGAATATCGTGATGAAAAAGTCGCAAACTTGAAAACGTGTTCGAATTTCATGTAAATAAACAATGTATTTTACACGCGTTGTGTACGTCGCTATGAGTACCATATCGAACAGGACGTGGTGCGACGACCACCGTCTATTGAATTCCGTAAGTTATGACACATTTTACCTAACCATCCATATATTTTATACTTTGGTCAGTGTCAATATAATTCATTTTATTTTCTATTCCTGATAGAGAACAGTGGCATATGCCATAATCCTTATAAAATAGTTGCCGTCCGTTTATTTTCTTCCTACTCTACCACAAACTGGCGTCGACAATAATTAAGTTAATATATGTAAGTATTAGAAGTTGTGTATAAGATGTATCAGGAATAATTGTCTCAATTCAAATAACCAAATTAATTTAATTATATTGCTTACGACAATAGCCGGTACATAACTCAGGCTTGAGGACAGAAGTCGGAAGACACGTAATATTTTAACAAAACAAACATTGAACGTCACTTGAGTCAAATAAATTCAAATTTCCAAAGCTGCATATGAAACTAAATACGTAGAATATTTACCATGTGGTGAACTCACACGTATACTTGTTTCAAGGGTGCTGGTAGTTTATAATGAAAAGTAATACAAGCCTGGTTTAGGTATACATTCAAGTTCGCTATTATCATGGACGTACTAGTACGTCCATGCTCTTACTATAAAGCAAATTATGTTGTCAGTTTGAACCAGGGATCAATACATTCTATTTACCAGAAATTAATTTTTATATATAATTATTTTATATTCGCTATCACGGAATACTATACAGAACTCATTTGACAGTCATTTCAATACCACGAATTGTCAGGACCTGGCTGCACCCCTCTAAATACGCCCTGGAGACAGTGATATACCGGTAAATAAAATTCTCTCCTGAACAAATCCTATGCCTGACCTTTGTTGGGTCAAAGGTTACAGTGTGAGGGCGCTACAACGGTTTATTTTTAAAGATGGCGAGTACCTTAAAAAACTACAGCGTTGAGGTTCATTTCGCCCAACGTCTGGCAGCGAGTGAGAAAAAGATCCGAGACAAAGCTGTGAAGAGATTGAGAAGTTGGATCACAATAAGATCGCAGTCGGAGAAAAGTGAGTCGCTTTATTTACGATTACATTGGTGTACTTGGCAAGTGTCAAACATGCTTCACACGTGGGTTCATAGCATGCTGGAACTGAACACGTAAAACAGCAAAAACCGGTAGCGAAATGGTCCATAGAGTTGTTAATTTTTAATGATTTTGTACTTTAGCGACGATAATATTTGTGATTTCTCAAACGCCAATGTTTTTTTCCTAACTTGAAAGTTGAAGTCTCAAAAAATCAACTCTACGCCTTGTCACCATAGGGGGGGAGGGGGTTATCGGCAGGTTTCTAATGAAAGAAATATACACGGGATGAAAGCTTCAGCGAGCCCATATTTGTTAAACTAGAAAAAAATGACGAAAGGCATGTAAAATAAAATCTATATTTTTTTCAAATTTCACCAAATCAAGAAAACTACATAAATTGATTAAATATATACAGAAAGTACGGCACAGTTGGTGGTGTGGCAAGTCTGGTTTCTGGAAGTCCACTGTTTAAGAATTGACATCCCGAGCATAGAGACTATAGTCATACATGATTATAGTTCCTGGAGTCCCTGTGATACATCATGAATTAGCATCGACCTAAAAACTTAAAAAGAAGAATGAACTGATTTTAATCTTATTTTAGTTTTTGTTTTTGAGCTAATTTATGAGCACTCACTTCCACTTACTTATGTCAACACAGGTGTGTTGAAAAAGTGATCATAATGTTTTGGCGATTTACAAAATCTCGAGACTAGCGCATAAAAGGTAAATAACATAAAACTTTGACGACTGTTGATAAATGTGGTTATAAATGTAAATTTAAATGGTTATATTTTCGCATATTTCACTGATAAGAATGTGCACTAAAATGAAAATTGATCAATCTCCAAAGAAACAATGGAATACCTTTGTATATTAGTATTGGATAGGACTTCCTTAGGGTCCCTCACCCCTAACACTTTAATACCCAGTGCCCTTCCCTATTTTAATTGTACATGTATGCCCCTCTTCAGAATGTGTTATTTGGAGGGGCATATACAATAAACATTGGAGAGGTTCAGTGTTACAGTGTTTTTTTTTGAGGGGAGGAGGGCTTTAGTGAAGTCTTTTCGTATATTATTTTTCTTCACAAACCAGTGAATTTAAAACCTATTGACAAACACTGCAACATCATAATCACTAAAATTATCACCATTATATATTTTTGAGAACAAAAATGGGTGGTGTTTTCATTCCATTGAAGTGCATGCATTGTGAATCACATTATACTTTTGAAAAATCACTACTATAAGCATTGGATACTGTTTTAGTACTTTGTTTGAACCGAGGGGAAAAGATTGGTCCTTGACAGTTTACAAATGTCTCAGTGATTGGGTCACATACATGTATGACTGAAATGCATTGTTCAAACAGGGTGGTCATAATGTGCAATCAAATTATCTGTAAACAATTTATTTTACGTGTATTGTATTGCGGCCATACTTGATGTACACTGACATCCCCCGCCCTTTTATTTTAATATGTAAAGTTATAGTGACTTAATATTGCATAGCACGACTGTTAAACCAAAGACACTAGACCTTAGGGTCACACAACTGTTATTTTCTTTGATTTAATAAGTCTTAAAATTCAATTATATGATTTCAAACATTGAATATTATATTTAAATATTCCAATATGAGTTACACATTCAAAATATTTATTATATTTTTTGATGAATGAACACATAACACTGTACATGTATCAGCCGTAGAACATAGGTTTGTAGATTTTTAAGGAATTTGAAATTGATACCGTACATCATACTTTGTAAACTAGTTTGTCTTGAGTTGATACATGTCAATATTGTTAGGATATTTTCATTGTGACTTGTTACAAGAAAATGATAATAATTTGTTGATTTTTAAATAACATGTTTACACAAACAGTATCTGAAATAGTTGATTGTCAACATATTTGGTATAGAATGTTTTCAAAAAATACATATAGGTTAAAAATCATATTAGGGACTCATTATTTATACTCCCAAATTTAATCATTTACTATTAATTAGACAGGGTGTTGCCCATTAGCTGCAAGCTGCTTTACTGGGGGGGGGGACTGTAAATTATGTTCATACACAAATACAAAACATCAAAAATACAGTAAATTACACACAGTACTGTAACCAGTATACTCAGACAAAAATAGCAATACCGTACTCGGCCGCGTTAGCGCCCATGCCCGGGCAAGCGCCCACCCCCCACTTTTGCGCAATTTTTATATTTGGGGTCACATTTGGCAAAACACCCACCCCTTCAAAATGCAACTAATTTAAAACTTGGTCTTGCGTAACGAATCTTGGTAATCGTTTTTATATGATACAGCGTGGATATTGACCGTCTTGAACATGTTGTGAATGCGTAGAGCACGGTAACCGTGCATAAACTACGCTTCGACAATGACCTGTTAATACAAGTAAAATGCGAAATAGTGAAATACGAAAAGTGATTTTCATCGAGAGTTTGCGTACGATCCAACACCTTCGTCAGTGGAGATAATATGACAATTTTGACTTTGACTGTGTTCCAGCAGACGCAAATGTTTTTAATTTCCTAAATTCTGGTGGTATGTAATTAATTGTAATAAAATGTGCATATTTTTTGTGATCATTTCTGTTTCTTCATTGTGACACCGTCCCTCAACAGACGGTGATTGTGAAAATCAATGACGACTCAACTAATTTCGTAATTTGATTTTTCCTCAAAGACATAATCTGTCACTTGATGAATAAAATTTGCACTCTTTTTCGAGGGGGTGTTCGGGTAAGCGCCCATCCCTAAAAAATCATGATTTTCTGAGTTGAGTCCCCCGGGCGCTAATGTGGTCAAGTACGGTAAATTATTCAGCTGAAAGCTGTTTATGATGCTAAAATATCCTGATGACAGAAAAGATGATTATTCTTAGCTCTGCAGTCATTGTTCATAAAGGTCATTGTCTGTCTTGCGTCTTTGAGCACATCCAATTCTGAATCAAGTGGTTCCTGTTTGAAACCAAAGGTTTACATTGATTCTATGTGAGATTATTGGTGTAACAGTTGTTATTATATTGTACTTAAATTTTCTACAAATTCTTTGGTTTAAAGTTTTAACAAAAGATGAGAATGTCTTTTTAAAAAGTCTGCAAATGTACTATAGACCCTTACATATCAAAGGAGTTGGGAAATGTATATCCCGTAGATAGGAAAGAGTGGGATATTGCTGCAAATACTATTAATGATAGTAATATCAAATCACACTTATATTAATCTTATTTTTCAGATGATTTTTCCGAGGATGATCTAATGAAGATTTGGAAAGGATTGTTTTATTGTGTTTGGATGAGTGATAAACTACTCATACAGCAAGCATTGGTAGAAAATATAGCAACTCTTGTATATTCATTCAAATCACAAAAATCAGGTAATGTGTTTCCATAGTTACATATGATGCTGGAGATGAATTTTCAAAAATATTTTTAAATGACTACACAATTGTATGTACAGTGATACATGTATTACAATTAAGGTAGGAGTCTACTCACAATTGTATGTACAGTGATACATGTATTACAATTAAGGTAGGAGTCTACTCACAATTTGTGAAAAAATTGGTCATAAATCACATTACAATGTTCATTGGTTTATTATGTGAAATCGTTAAGCTAATGTCCTATGGCGCCATGGAATAGCATTCTTTTGTGTGTCACAGTGACGTATGAGAAACTTGTTCTAATATTCTCCCAAAATCGCTATTTTTAGAACAATTCCATAGAGCACAATATTAATAAGGAAAAATTGCATTTTTTGGCACTTTTTAAAACCCAGATTTTTGAAATAATTGAGGTAAACATAAAGTACCCCATCATTCACAATATTTTTTCAGTCTATGTCACCATACTACAATTTAAGACATGACATAATATCTCTGCCATAGAAACCTATGGTAAAAGCATTATAATACTGACAAAATGACCACTATCCACTAAAATACAACCATCATTTTCTCAAAAATTAGGCTGGTGACCCCCAACCTTTTTTAGCTCAATATTCTTATATTGCCCGGAAGTACATTTTTTTGGAAAATGAATAAATTCTGGGTATTTTTATTTATGAGTAGGCTTCTACCTTAATTGGAAACACAGTGGTAGATGTGAATGAGTAATAGGGGGAAGTTACCAAAAGCAGTTCACCAAAACATTGCAATTTCACAAAATTAAAAGCATGTTGCTTACTGTTTGTTGCAGTAACATCTTCACTGTTATTGGTAATATTTTTAACTGTCAGTTGACATGAGAATTGACTGTTGTAAATGAAATACCAAACTCCAAATCAAAATCCTTACACAACTCACAAGCCATGTTTTCAAAATTGTTTTCTGTACAAATTGTTTGCAGTTATGTTGTATATAAGGACATTCTATAAGACAATGATGAGAGAATGGCTGGGAATTGACCATCTAAGAATAGATAAATATTACAAGGTAAGTTGAGGGGTTTTCTTTAGAATAAATATTACAAGGTAAGTTGAGGGGTTTTCTTTAGAATAAATATTACAAGGTAAGTTGAGGGGTTTTCTTTAGAATAAATATTACAAGGTAAGTTGAGGGGTTTTCTTTAGAATAAATATTACAAGGTAAGTTGAGGGGTGTTCTTTAGAATAAATATTACAAGGTAAGTTGAGGGGTTTATTTTAGAATAAATATTACAAGGTAAGTTGAGGGGTTTTCTTTAGAATAAATATTACAAGGTAAGTTGAGGGGTTTTCTTTATAATAAATATTACAAGGTGAGTTGAGGGGTTTACTTTATTATAACTATTACAAGGTGAGTTGAGGGGTTACTTTATTATAAATATTACAAGGTAAGTTGAAGGGTTTACTTTAGAAAACAACATTACAAGGTAAGTTGAGGGGTTTACTTTAGAAAAAAACATTACAAGTTAAGTTGAGGGGTTTACTTTATAGTAAACATTACAAGGTAAGTTGAGGGGTTTACTTTATTATAAATATTACAAGGTAAGTTGAGGGGTTTACTTTATAATAAACATTACAAGGTAAGCTTTTTTGTTGGTACCAATCAAATTGCAGGAACATCAGATAGTGACAGCCATCAAAGAATTTATATGTTTGTTGACAAAATGTGTGAAAAGGTGCTGGCAAAAATGTTTATCATCTTGTTGAAAACAGTCTGTGATTTTTGCTTTGATTGACAGTGTTACCATGACCACTAAAATGAATATTCATTGAAACTCATTGCAAGAAGGCGTGAACTTTGCGAATTCGCAGTATTGATCTTGTTGATGAGACGTACACTATTCTGTCAGGTGTTAGTGAGGTCTGATTCCGCCTTCATGTCAGGCTAAGATTCATAAGCATGGAAATAATTCATTGAACTATTGGACATTACTCTATGTATGGCATTTAATGTTTGTTTCTAATTAATTCCCACAATATGATAATTTGGCTGCATTTATCTAGACTGGTCATTGCTGTCTTTTACACCAATTGTGCCATTGATTTGAATAGCAAACAAGGCTTGAGTTTAAAATTGAGAAGGCATCCATTCTTGCATGGAAATTGTGTGATGGTGCTACTTGTATAACTTTTCTATTTACTCTGGAAGTAAGTAATAGTCCTGTTTCAGAATCCTATAACCAATTGCTGTTCTTTATTAGTTGGTGAGGAAGATGCTGAATCATAGTTTTGAAATGATCAAGAAAAGTGAATGGAAACCAGAGTGAGTATAACCATATATAGTGAAACTAAAACTTAACATCCAAAGCCATTTATTTAAACAAGTCTATCTTTACATCACGGTAATTCTTCATTAATCTTGGGTAGTGAGAGAAGACACTCTCTGATAACAATGATATAGATTCCTAACACGTTTCTCTCTGAAAGTCTTCACTGATAGCTGAAATGAATAGAAAAATAAAATGTTGTCAGCAGGCAATGTGGTAATCAAATCAAAATTCAATTCGTGCTTGCTGTAGATAATTTATAAAGATTTGCTGTGTATCATGAATAGCGTTTTATTTCATTTTTTAAGGCATTCATTTATTTGTGATCTGACAATAACAAAATTATTATCAAATTTGTAATCTATTAGTAATGCACAGAAATTTTTCATTTTTTGTATTGTGCACTAATAAAGTACGACTCATTTTGACTATATACACACTTTAGTCATTTACATATGCTGCACCGTACTTTCACGAGCTTTGCTAGTGAAAGTAGAGTACATCGCATCTCAAGTGAAAATAACCATATGCAACGAAAGCCACGGGGAGGATGAGGGGTTCTGTTATTATTACGATACATATGTTCCATATTTTATTAGTCCCCGTTCGGACGTAGTCCGAAAACGGGGACTTATGGTTTGCCCTGTGTGCGTCCGTGCGTCCGTGCATCCGTGCGTCCGTGCGTCCGTGATCACCTGTATCTCGAACATGCATGGACCGATTAAGTTCAAACTTCACTCATACATCACACATTATATGGGACCTATGCACATGCATTTTTTTCATGATCCGATTAACGATAGCCGAATAGCGGCCATTTTAAGGCCGAAAATGCATCAAAATCGCACATTTTCACCATTCCGGACCCGGATCTCAGTTATGCATGGACAGATTTTGTTTAAATTTGGTACATACATTAAACATAATAGGACCTTGATGCATGTCTTTTTTTTTTTGGATCGGG